GACGTATAGACAGCTTGTGGCATCTTCTTTAGTTTTAGCCATCTCCTTTGGATGTCTATCTTGAGGGAAGACAACTGGACAGAATTGATAAGCAATAACGATTGGTGTTTCATCAGTTCCAGTATTTTCAGCAACGACACTAATTGGTTTAGCTCTATCATTTGGCCACATTGGAGAAAGATAATCTCCTTGGTTCAAAATCCCTTAAAGTTAATCATTGTCTTAATCAGAAAATATCCTTGAAGGTTCTTTTGGTTTAACAATACCTGCCATAGATGTTTCTTTTGCAACAAAACCAGTTAATTTTGACAGGGCTCCACCTCCTAATAAAGAAATGGCTTGCTTCTTTGCTTTTAAAGATTCACACTCTACACTCTGAAACATTCCACATTTTCATTCGAAACTAATTTCTCAACAATTGCTCCAAAATTTATGCAATTAAGGGCTGATAAGAAAAGTTTTGAACTATTTATGAAAGGTTGACGAGAAGATAGGTCCACTATTTAATCATTCATTTAAGAAATATTTGAATTATCAAAATTATTTTAAAGAATTTTGTCATAATTACATGGATTTCTGTAAATCGTTCATCCGACAACTCATCTAACTTCATTCCTTTCTTATGATTAAAATTAGACGTTGACAATCAAAAAATCAACACCTTTTTTTACAACATCTTTCCAATTCAAAAAAAAATGCTCAAAACCAAGCCTTCTTCCTCTTCTTTGGCTTCTAATGTTGGTGGTGGCACCACCGATCTAAATAATAGTAGCACTCTTAGTATGAATAATAGTCATCAACGGATTAAACCAGTGAAGGCTTTTAATTCAACTTCAACAAAATTCTTCTCTGGCTTGTTGTCTGCCATTCCAAATCCGAAGAATATTACATCAGCTATCGGGAATGAAATTAGAGAAATTACGCCACGTAGAAAGAAGGAGAAGAGAGATGTAAATAATCAAAAGCAGGGAATTTCCTTCTCGGAGTGGCTTAGCTTTAGGAAACCACCTACTAAAAGTGCAACAACAAGTGCAAAATCAAATGATAATCAAGAATCTGAAATTGCTATTGATACAATCAATTTGNGAGATTTTTTGAAACAATTGGATAATTTGGATAAAGATGATTCATTTGAAGAAT